CATACTTTGAGCACTGACTGGCAGCTCATTTTGATATATACATATATATATATATATATATATATATATATAGGATCAAAGACCCCAAAGACCTAGGAGCAAGAAGAGTACATCTATTTAGTCAGAGCGGTAGAATGTTGGCTACCGTTTTACCTTCAGCAACCGCCAAGGTAAAACACACCTACAAAGTGATCCCCAATATAGACCTATCAGAAGGGAGGTACTTCCCGCCATATTTCCAGTCTCTAGAGAGACCTTTCTAAACCCTACGGCCGTGCTCCCAGGACAGTCTTGCCCTCGAAAAGCCACAGATCTGATTATCTACGAGCAAACACACCGAAAACCGCATTTTCGGGAAAATGATAGCAATTTTGAAAGGCTCAGGTCAACAAGCCAATAGATGCTTAATTGATGCTGAACCCAGTTAAACCAGCCAAAACAGATTCGTATTTGAGTATTGGAAAGGACAGCTAGAGTTCTTCATTCTCAAGGCTGACGCTTGATTCGAACACCGGTAACCCGCTGATAGCAAACAGGAAAATAGCCTGGACGGCAATATATTAATAAAAGCTAACTCTTGATGACCATACATGAATGGGGAAACAGTAATAGAGGAGGAGCCCAGAGAATAGGGACCCAGTGTATAGCTTGGGGAAGACGATCAAGAATAAAGTGCCCGCACTACTGAAGCCCAGTGACCAGACGTTGCAGCTGAAGTCACACAGAACGTACCTTTTTCTTCTTCGCTAACAAAAGCTTCTGTCGCATCATATCGTTCTGCATCTCCGACAACGACCGACTCAAATTTTCTTTCTCTATCCGTTTGGCCTCCAGCTCTGAAGCTGTCTGATCGAATTGTTGCTGCAAAGTCTGGAACAAATGAAATAATTCACGAAGCTGTTCGATCATGGATAAAGCAAACGATTTCATACAGTGTTTGAACTTTTAACTGCCACTTAATAGACTGGTCAAACAAGTACCTTCCACAAATGCAGCTCAACGGTAACACTTGCTATATTGAAAAAGTAGAAAATTAGCATAATTAGACGGGGTCTGTTGGGTGGTGGCGGACAGAATCGTCACCACACTTGTAGAGTTTATACTCTGACCTAATCGCCCAACCGACCGAGTGCATTTGCAAGATGTGAAATTTGCAGTGAACGAAACCAAGAGATGGAAAAAAATAGTTCTGAAAAGGAACACATGAGACACCTGAGTCGATGAATACTGTGGTTATGCCAGGCAAAAAAGGGTGTGATAGCGGAAAAGCTACAAACGTCATGCTGAGCGGACGTCAGGCCACCTTGATCCTCTCCCTACCTCTGCGTGTGTGCACGTATGAAGGTGAGTCGAATTCCGCAAAAGGAACTGTGCTCAGCATCTTCTTGAAAACCCCCGAATAAACCTACTTACCTTGCCATTTACAACGAATTTCGAGAGATCCACGTGGATTGCCTCGCATTCCTTAGAAGAAAACTATATTGCTGAACATGCTTAATTGCACAGTTTAAGACCCGTTTTGCTGTACCAGGTTTACAATACGTTGTTCATGTTTGGACGATGCGTTCTAACAGCGCGCACGGCTACTCGCGGTTCGGAGGACACCAGGTAACATAATGACTTCTTGTACCCAAAGTTGACGTTGACAGTGGACTAATCACGATCCGCGAACATCTGTTTGAATGGATTATCATTAGCTCTCTTTGTGGCAGGAACACGAAATTCCTCGCCCAGGTGGTGTTCACTGTCATTAGGTCGTCTAGTATGTGATTTGAATTCACCAACTAGAACTGTAATACGCGTAACTTTTATCTGTCGTAGAACGTTCGAAGGTTCGTGATAGAAGTCACCTTTGTTTGTTGAAGCGTACGCAGAGACCACGAATAAGTTACATATCTTAACCCACTTCTAGTCGCGCAGCGCGCAACCTGTTGCTGAGAGGAATTCATTCCACCGGAGCATGTGACTTTTGAGGTCAGGGCGATTCCTACACGGTAGACAGTACCAGACTCTGCACTAGGATCACGGGGTACCCAGTAGTTCGAGTGAGATCTTTGCATGGTGGGGCCACACAGGCGTGTTTCTGCCACATTTAAACTTTCTGTCCTCACAGCTCCTTGTACGAATGCCCGTCTGGCTGCTGTATTTTCGTCCTGCTGGCATGGTTGAACCTTGAAAAAGGCAGTTCAACCTGGTGCAGCATTCACAGCTGATGAAGTCGTCCGACGACGGATTCACACGGATGCCCAATACTTTTGATCAACTCTGATCAACTGCCCGTAGGGCAGTTAGATCAAGTATCCATTAGCTTCGGAATCATACGCCTCCGGGATTCAGCATCATCTCACGATCCTATCTCCTTCTGTTAAGATGTCGGCTTGCTTCGGCCACTTCACACCAGGGGATCGGCTGACTTCACTAACCCCAATCCAAATATTCTCGGCCTGAGTTGGCACTGGGGAAGCCCATATCTTCATCAGGCGAAATCTGGGATGGGCCGCGTACCGGTTCCATTATACGGCCATAGGCGTTTTCAAAAGCTGCCTTGGGATTTTCAGACTTTCTTCACTGTTGCAGTATATTTTGTACTTAATACATGAGAGTTTTACAGTTACATGTGTCATACACAAACCCCTCAGTCAGCCCTCGATGTTTCAGCCCCAATGTGTGAACGGCTACGTAGTCATGTTAAAGTGCCATGTCATTCTACCCAATCGTGGAGATGGCCGACAATACAAAATATTCTAATGCACGAATGCACACATCAAGGGTCATAGATATCGTTCAGTATCTCCAATTTAAGCGTCCGGCAGACTGAGAAACTTCCGCGATCTAGCTTGAGGACTGCGGCGTTATTTCTGCAGGCGTAGTGGCTTCCTTTTATGGCATCAACAGACGTCATCCAGTTCACCTCGAGATATTGACTTCCACCAAGAGCCAAAGGACTATAAAAGCTTAACGAGTATTTCAAGTGACACGAATCACACAACAGGATGAGTTGATATATTACCGACAGGAACGTTCGGTGCATTCTGTCAAAGTGTAGGTTTGCTTTGAATTTGAAACAAACTGAAAGTTTCGCACACGCCCCTGAGTATTTCCAGCCTCTATGTGACCACATGAGTTGGAGGGGGGTAACGTAGGAGGCTGAGGTCTCGATGGGTTGAGGAAAACACTGATGTCCTGTCAGCAACCTACGCAAGGAGGGTAAAATTATAAATACCCGGTCGACAAATTTATTAAGCTGCTATGACCGCACATAGTTGTCATGCAGACAGAACTAATGGGCTATTGCGTGGCTTCAGGTGAAGAGCTTGGCAAACCGATGTGACCCATAATTTTGCCACACCGAACTTCAGGGTTCCCCAGTTGTTCCTTTAGGAACAAACCAAGTTACCAAGGTAACTCATAGTATGTCGAGAACTTCGAGGTGATGGACAGGGCACACAGAACAAAACGAAAGGCAAAACAATCCTGCAAAAGCAAGCCAACACCTCTAGAGTCAGGACAAATGGATTTGAGGGTTACCGACGAGAAAGTACCACTCACCTTTACCTGCTGTTTGAGGGATACGTATTTGTCAAGCAGGACATAAAAATCGTCTAAGTTAAGCTTGTCCAAAAGTGCCTCGTAGTGGTGAAACTCAGTAGTTCTTTCGAACAGATTGGTCCGCCTCTCAAACAGCACATGCATTTCCACTTCAACTTCATCCAATTGGGCTTTGATCTTCGGAATGAAGCGAGTGAGGGAATCCACGTTCTCTAAAATGTTTTTACTCGATTTTTCACATTCCGCCTCCAGTTCGGCATTCTCCAGTCGCAATCTATCCGTCTAAAACGGAACGAGACAGCACATACTAAAAGGGTTTCCTACGAGACACCAAAAGATATCCTTAGTTCAAGTTACCTCAACCAGAGGACAGACAGAGACCTTGCGTTATAATTCCACTGAATGAAAAGAAACTCTCCAAAACTTCGGAGAATAGAGGAAAATGTTGGTAGCTCAAGTAGCGTTGGTGGTTGGTATAAACACCAATCCATCGCCACGCACCGCGCTCTAACAGCGCACTGATGATGTCACCTCGATTGGTGATGAAACGTTTGCCTAGCTCAGCGAACAAACCGACGACCAACTTCGGCAAATGGGAGTATTTGGAAATGGACGCTCAGTGTTGGGGTTAGGCAGTGAACCACATTCGAAAATATGTGGGAAATGTAGATACTTTGGGGACAACCAAAAAACAACTGATGTTCAGGAGAATTGGTGTTCAGTTTCTCAGGTAAGGTTTCGAAGTAAGAATTGGGAATACATCAGAACCAAGTGTTTTGGAGGTCTGACAGAGAGCGGCCATCGAAGGTAACGGGAGACAGGTTGGTGGGGACAAGGGAGAATTTCTGAGATGTGAGAACTACTTGTAAAACGGGTGAACCTTTTCGTTATCCCCATCAGGGGGGGGGAGGATTCTGGACTGATATATGAAGCGAATTTGGGAAACGAGCAGAAATTGCGGTTACTGCCTTAGCCGGACTCCAGGATGACCAACCGTCTTCCGGCTACTGAGCGTTTTCGGTGGTTGCAAACACCGACCCATCGCTACGCTCCATAACGACGCACTGATGATGTCACCTTGATTGGCGATGAAACGTGTACGATCAAACTGCCCAGCTCGGAGAAAAAAACAAAGACCATCTACGCTACCTGAGCTAGGAACATTCTCCTCTACAGCGAATGAATCTGTGATGGTCTGATGCTGGTCACATGACCACCAACATCTGTGTGGATGAAATAGAATAGGTACACCGAATAACGGTAGCTGCGACAGCGGAAAACGCAGAGTTCTGGAGTGGGGTAGGATTGATAAACTTATTCACAAGTGAAGCCCAACAAAGGAATAGACGACAGGTCATTCTGATTAACCCAACAAAAGCGTTTGTTACGTGTTAAAGGAACTGACTGTTGATCAGTTCGCCGAGCTTGATAATCGGCTAGCAAACTTTTCAGTACCACATGAGGAGGCAATGTGAGTGCACAGTTAGGTAGGACGTCTAAGTTCATCAGATGAGCGGCCTGGTGACCTGTTCAACTGGAACTAAGGATGTAGTGACAACGATTGTTGTATTTTGAGGCCTTACATAGATAACCGATTGTCCCTAATTACCACTGGGCTCAAATGCAGCATGCATTGTTGCACTATCCGGACAACCATGGATTCAGATTCACCTCATAACCATTGGTCCTCAGCACAGAGGTGCTATGTTTCACTGTCACTCTCTCTGGACCCAAGCACATCGGTTCTGATCACGCTCTGATCCGGTGGGAGTTTCGGCTGTTGCCCGGGAGACCCATAAAAAGCTCCCGATTCAGCCACCCAAAAACTTTCCGATCCACAGGGTCCACACCAGTATCAATCTACCCTAAGCAAACCTTTGAAAGCCGAATCTTCAGTCTCTTTGAAATCTTAGCATAATTCAATCGGAAGGGTTATTAGACGTTAGTCGAAGCACGGTCCGCGTGTGGATGGAGAAACCTGGTGAAATCACAGGGTTCTAGAAATGGAGAAAGCAAGGACAATTAGGAATGTCCGGAAGCTGTCTCACCTGATACACAAAACTGGTATTAGTGCACTCACCAAAGATTATATTGGAGACTCAATACACAGCAAGAACGAACGTCTTGAGCGCTGGTCGTCAGTCCCTGTACCCACGTGTTTCAACACACAACCCAACCATCCTCAAAGACGGTGGTGAATTTCTTTCTTTTGCCATGGCTAGATTTTCTAAAATTAAATTAGCAATACGTCCCAACGATTCGAGGCCACTCAAAAACGCCTGTGAAACGAATACCTCAACCATAATAAGTATGGGCCTTACTCCAGCTGTAACACGACCACCGGCTTCAATAGTAGTGCGATGTTTGACGCTATCATCCGAAACGCAAGTCCGCAAGCATGAGAAAAATTTTTCGGTAAGGTAGGGGATGTACTTATGACTCCGTACTATGTTAATTTCTTTAGCAGCGTCCCAAATACCTTCAACTAGACAGGGCAGCCTTCGACTCCATCGATACGTTTGTTCAACTGAATAGACCTAAAACCCAGAAAACCCTCAGTCTGTGAATGAACCTCAAATAATTTATTCCTACATGTTTGGTCGCATTAGGGTTTACAATGAACTACCCAAAGGCTTTCCCACGACTAGGGTTTGTCAGAGATTTCCCCTCCCCTCATTTTTGTTCAATTATACCATTGACATCATCATGAGTCGTACTTCAATGGACCGCGAAACAGGTTGCTGAAAGCACATTTACAGAAAGATCGATAGACAGAGTATGTCAATGACGTTATTTGACAACAACGGCAAGCAGTTTGCACCCTCAAAGTTCACGCTGTTATCTCGGTTTCCCAATCCCATGTACCCCTTCGAGACTTTAGAATGCGATATAACTGGTAGCTGGAGGTCAGAGAGATTGTTTTAACTGAACCGGCCGTATAATTTACATGGTAAAGTTTGCTTTCTTTGCAGTTTGGAGATTCGAACAACCCGGTTCTGTCATCAATGAAAAATATATTGGACTGCTATCCATAATGACTAGAACAGAATCATGGCAAAGCTGAGGTGATTTTTGTGTTGTTGAAGGATGTGAAGTAGAATTTGAGTAAGAAAACAGGAAGCCAACGAAAAGACACTACGTCCTTCAAAAACTTCCACGAGATAAGTCGTAGAGTTAGCAATCAGAAGAAGCAAGTATGGTTTCACGGGAAGCATCAGGTACACCTGATCCGGACGATAAAAAGCATCGTAACATCTGGAGCCCAAAAGCCTCGTGGTCCAATTAGTGTTGGTGATGACGCCCTCACATGTTTGCCTCAAAAAAAACCGACAGCAATTGGAATAAGTCAAAACAGGTAACCTAGTGACCACAGGAAACTATAATAACTTACGTTCTCGACCCTTCTCGACAGGTCATCCTGCATCGAGCTCACTTGCTGTCTTAGACCTGAATGTTCATTGTCCAGCTTCCGATAACGGGAAGTGGCTTCCTCACAGTGGATCTTCACCTTTCTGATTGCCTCCTGTAGAGCCATGATTTCGGCTTGCCTGGTGGTGAACTCATCTTCTCGCTTGCTGACTAGGTTGCACAGTTCTGAGTATCGATTCTTTCTGGCAATGGCACCTTTGTATATCTATTAGGACAAAGTAACTGGTAAACAACCTAGTGCGAAATTACTTCGTCTGCAACTTTGAAATGAGACTTGAACTGCAAAAAGCACAAGACGCAAGAAAAGAAATCGATCCATTTTTTCCGGTCTCGGGATTCGCTCAAGTCACTGAAAGAAAACAACTGGGGGAACTGCAGTTCGGACACGATGCGATTCATCAGTTTCAACATAAATGCCGGGATAAATTGTGTGGGAGGCATATCAAAATAGATAGTGATCAGTTGCCACATGATCTCGTCCATTTTTTCCGCTGATAGGAAACAAGATGGTCATACAATGAACGCTTACACTTGTTGAGTACGTCGGCTGCCACATCCCGATTAGTGGCGACAGAGATACCACGCAAAATCTCACCGACTGACAAGGTGGTCACTGGAAAATATGAGTCCTATGAAAAAGGCACCCACTTCTTGAACCTCCAAGTGATTCGTAACTGGAAAAGCAAACAACATGTGAAGAATATAGGCACGGGGACAGTGGTCTTAAACAATGTGTACTAGCTACCATCAAGAAAAGGGCGTTACGCAAGTAGATCTTTCGTAGAATTAATATTTTTACCATAAATGTGGGCCAAAAACAGACATAGAGCAAATTTGACCGAACTCTGCTGGTTGCTCGCTGTTGTCACATGTAGAGTTTTCTCACAGCCGCCTGCTGACTTGCGATCCGATTTCAGTGTTGTATTGGCTGGCAGGAGACTCACCAAGCATGTATAATATTCAACCGTTTTAAACACTTGGCCAAAAGATGAGTGCAATTAGGAGTTACGATCAGTCTCTTGCATTGGATTCACACTTTTTTCATTAGAAAACTAATTCATAACGGTTTGCTTTCATTGTCAGGCAGTCTAAAATCTTCCGCATGGATGAAATATCACCTCATGTCAGAACAATATCATCAACATATTCCAATTTTTGAACCCTGGTAAAAGTTTCACTTCGCTGCCCATTCCACCCTTGCTTGTCTCTGTAATTGACAGAACAGTGTCGCTGACTCGATATTCAGACCACTACATGTGATAACATTGTTGACATGAAGTTTGCAGACGATATAGTTTGAAATTTTCAAAGGAGGAATGTGCGTTGATGCTATTTGAGGTCGGCCAGGGTCAAAATCATACAAAAGTGCTTCAGATCCATAAAGTGTAACGTATAGTCTCCGAAAATATCCCTTAAAATTTCAGGAGAATCACTGGGAATTGTGGAGAATTTTGCATACCTCGTAGTTGTATCAGCTCTGGCGGAAATGTGCCCGATGAAGACAATGTACGAATCTCAAAGTCCCGAATAAATTTTGCTAATTTGCGTCACTTGCGGCATCAAAAAGGCATACCACTAGATCGTAAAGGTCGCGTGTATCAGGATAGAGCAACGGCTGCGTTGTTAGTGGTTGCGGTACGTGGCCTCTGAGGACAGATGACGCAAGGCGTCTTCAGGTTTTTGACCACCGACGTCTCAAAAGTGTTGCTGGCTCTGGATGGCGTCCACGGATTAGTAACGAGATAGGTATAAAACTGGTGTTTGGTTATGCAGCAGGTACTTCAATCGCGGAAAACCACCAGCACCATCAAGTGCGGTGGCTCGGCCATGTTCTAAGCATGCCGAAACATCGTCTACCGAGATGAGTGCTGTCCTCTGTGCCCCCTTCAGGATGGCGTGAACGTATGACTTCGCAGAAGTGAAAGAGATCACGAAGAGTTTTGGTGTTGTACGCCTTCCAGGATGAGGTCGCCGTGACCCCGCCCGCGGTTGGATGGAGGCATCGCAAGAAATGGCGGCTGTTCGAGGTCAGTGGCGTTCGTGCTGTGGGTCTCATTTCAGATTGTCCACACCTCAGAATGCTCGACACAGGCCAGCACTAGGTCTCCTCCCTCGCCCACTCTTTTGCTTTTCGCTCCGAAGCTTCGAATAAAATTAACTGTACGGAAGTGGAACATCAGTGTCAACGCTGGTGTTGCTTTCTCTGATGATGATGAAGGCTGAGTAGTTAATCCATCGTGGGAAATCTCCTTCACCTAAAACCATCTGGCGTGCCTCAGAATTGCAAATCTGATGTAACCACCAGACCTTGCCAATGATTCGGAGACACGTTTAAACACTGACAACTCTCGTACGTAATCTAAGCACATCGCCGAGAAGCAGTACTTTACATTTTGCAGGTGTGAAACGCATATCTAACTGTGCGGTAGGATTATTTAGGTTAGTTAAAACAACTTGCATCTTTGAAGGCAATACCGCCTACACACTCAATGTGGGCGCCGAAAAATTCGATCCCCGAGGTTTCAGAGATAGGCAGAGAAATTTCAACCGGCATTTCAATAACAAAGATGTAATGGAATGTTGAAAGACGGCAGTCTTGTCTTACACTAATGGATGTGGCGAACTAAGTTGACAGCTCACTTTATACCCATACGCGCCCACAGAAGTTTGCATGCAGTGAATCCAGAGAAGATAAATATTTAGACAGGACACGCTTGATCGCCAGGTACCGCCTTAGTTTCTGACGATCCGCAAAGTCAAAAGCGTCTTCCTACCAACAAAAAAGATAACCGTTAAACTTCTGAGGAAAGCGCTGTTCGTAAACCTGTCTCACGGTAAAGATATGGCAAACACACCTTCGGCCACGGGAAACCCAGCTTGTCTTTCCCAGCAATTATTATTATTATTATCAGCTATAAGGATTGCGTATCTTTCGCACAGTGGTTTTAGTTGTCACAATTTTGTCCACCAACGACTTGGGGAAGGGATAGGTAGCTGCGCGTCGGAGACGGGAGCTGACAAATTGGTGCGTAAATACAGGTCTGTCAGTGGACTTTTAAGTGGAAGGATTGGGAAGGGAGCCATGCATTGAAAACAATAGCTTGGATGAACGAGCGCCCTTGAGGGAGCGACTGGGTCATGTCTGATAATGTCTCTAAACATTGATGTGGCTCATCTCGGAGTATCCATCCAGGGAGACGGCAATAACCAGTACAGCTGAGTTTGCAGGTAATGGCTTTCAAACTTCGCTGACTCGTCTCAACCCTTCGCATGGCTCTGCAAAAAGAACCCTTCGAGGACGTTGGTCGAATGGCATACGGAGCCAGCGCAACCTACGCAGTGTAGTCAGTTCGTCTATCGTGAGTGAGTTATTTCTTCCGAATACCATTCGACGTGTTTCAGCACTGCTGAAATACCACACTCGGACAGTGCTCCTAAGACAATGATGGTCAAACACTGAAAGTCTTTTGAAGTCCTCGGCGCGCAGCAGCCAAATTTCTGACCCGTATAGTCATATGGATCACAATACAGCATTGTAAATAAATAAACTGTCCAGCTTTAGCACCCTTTTCGGTGCCCAGCTGCCATACCACCCGAGGGAAGCACGAAGGCTGGGATACCGCCAGGTTGTCCAAGTCTAGACAGGGGAAGTCGAGAGGCAGAGGTCAGGTTCGAACCACGGACCTCCCCGTCAGTAAATTCGCGTTCTAACCACTTGAGCCATCTCGCCAGCATTGTAAACTAGACCACTGACGGATAAGATGGTGTCAAACCTACGCCACATGTGACGCAGGTTCACGAGACCTGCTCTGACCTTCCTAGTCCGGACTGAAATATCATCTTTCGCGAGACCACCAAAACCGATGCAGTTGCCCCAGAAGACAAACTGGTCTACCACCTCAAGCGGCTCATCCGCAAGCATAAGCTAAGGGTTTGACCCTGCCCAGTCTTGCAATAACACTTTACACTTTGCCGGTGTGAAGCATGTTCCATAATATGAGACAGAATCAGCCATATTATTTGATATTCTTTGCATCAACACGACATCAGATTCAAGAATAGCTGCCATCTGCGTATTCGACATCTGTGAGCGGATATCCCGGGAGAAATTCGACCTCACAGGCAATAAAGGCTGATGGTGAGTCTTCCATAACCCTATCAATGACGAAGTTGAAGAGGAGAGGTGAAAGAGGACAGACTAGTCTGACATCACTTGATGTGGGGAATTCAGACGACAGCTTACATCGACTCCCATACGGTCGCGGGAGTTTGGGTACAGCGCCTTAAAGAGGGTCAAGAATTTATAGGGGGCATCTTTGCTCCAGACACTGAAATAGTGCCTGGCGGTCCACAGAGTCAAAGGCAACTTTCAGATCAAGGAAGACAACCAGTGTTGTTTGCTGGGAGGAGTATCGCTGTTCCAGAGTCTGTCGGCAGGTAAAGATGGAATCGATGCGTCCTCTTGCAAGATGGATACGCCTCTCCGTGTGTTCAGAAAACCGATAAAAAATAAGACCAGAGGGGACTTTCGATGTCGCAGTTACTAGCCTGATGCCACGGTGGTTTTCACACAGCGTCCGCGTAACCTTTTTGAAGACTGGAATAACTGACGACATCCTCCACTCTGCAGGAACTTTGTTTTTGTTCAGTATGGCACCAATAAGCTTTGGTAGATGGGTCACCAGGGCTTCTCCGTCTACTTTGAAGAGGGCTGGATAGAGACCGTCCGGTCCTGATGTCTTCTCACGTCTCAGTAAAAAACATTCAGCTGGCCAAAATTTCTGTGCCTAACTGCCATGCCACCCGAAGGAAGCACGAGGGCTGGGATACTGCCAGGTTACCCAAACCTAGGCAGAGGAAGTCAAGAGGCATAGATCGGGTTCCAACCACCAGTCTTCCGGTCCGTAAATTCGAGCTACTACTGAGCCATCTCGCCCCCACAAGTTTCAGTACGTAGGTTATTTCTTCTTTCGACGGGCGATTAAGGTTTGCGTTCTATTCGTTCGTATGCACTATCTCCACAAGCTGAACTGCAGGAGGCCAGCTAAATTGTTCTTCGAAATGTTTGGTCCATCTTTCCAGTCGACGTTTTTGCGAGTGAATTAATTAGCCACCTTTTTCACTTATAGTTCTACTGACCGCTGCTCCCCTAGGGCCAGTCGAGCGTATCAGTTGGTATAAGGCACTGCTGTTTCCGATAACAAAAGCCTTCTCCATCTCCCGAGCTTTCTATATTCACCAGACCTCTCGGTCATTTCTTAAGCTCTTCACTATTTGGTTTGAAGGATTTACGCGCGCCGTCATACTTGTTGCCTGCTGGTATGGATTTTCTGGCATCAACTATGGATAGTGATCTCGTCGACATCCAGCGGTCTTGTGGTAGCATCAGAGAAGTCGGACAGACAGCACCGAACACAGCTAACATAGCTCCTTTCACATTTTGCCACACTCCATCCACAAGCTCACTGTCAGTACGGTATGAGTTTACTGCAGAGTTGCTGGGCTAGCTCAGATCGATATCATTGAGCTATGATAGTTTTTCGAAGAGTATGGATTGGCACGCTTCTTGCTGACTTACAACGGCCTGAGGGAAAATGAACTGTCAGGCACGCACTAGGATGTGATCGGA